AAGAGGGTTCTTTATGATCTCCTCAAGGCAAGACTCAGGGGGGTGATAAGGAGGCAACCAAGTTTGGGATCTTGAAGATGATGCAATGATGCAAATGATATGGGGTCTTAGGGGTAAAAATTAGGGGTTTGTTGTACCCTAATTTTTGACCCAAGATCCCACTTCATATGCATCATTGCATATCTAACAAAATACCAAAAAAAAACTTGTGTTTTCTCCTTGTGTCAATCAGGGTTTTGAATCAAGAAATCTCCATTAATACAAGTCTTAATCAAATTAGGGTTTTGATTAAAGAAAGTGGATCATTGACTTTTGGCTCAACGCATGACCTAATGGATTTAAGAATGATTAAAAGAGCTCTAATGGAGCATCTTGACCTAATTATATGGCTCGAGACATTTTCAAAGATATAATTGACTGATAGTGAAAGAATTGGAATCAACTGATGAAAAGTCAACTATTACACAAAAGTCAAACTTGGACTTTTTGGTCAACTTTGGACTTCAAGAATCAAGGGTCATCAAAAAATTCAAATTTATCAAACTTGATCATCAAGAATCAAAAGAATCAAGAAAGTCAACAAAAGTCGAAGTTGAAGATTTATAAACACTTTGAAAAACTCAAGTGTTTTTGCACTTAAAAAGTCCTAACTTCACAAGCAAGTTTCACCAAGATTCAAGTTAATTCAAAGAAAACTTTCAACATGAAAGTTGTAGGGAATGAAAAGTTATGCAACTTTGTCATTGAGGGTTGATCTCCAAAAAGTTCTCAAATCAAGAGATATGAGCATCAGAAGTTCTGCCAACACTTAGAGAAATTTATCAAACAGTTTTGGTCAATTTTTTCTCTCAACTTCATGACCATTTTTCACTAAGATCCAAGTTGATTCAAACAAAGTGTTCAAAATTAAAGTTGTAGATAAATTTTCAAGCTTTATAAAATTTCCAAGAGCATGCATTTATATTTCTTTAGTTGGAAGTTTCAAATTTATGAAGTTGGTTGATCAAGGTTGCATTACAAGTCACTTTTGTGATGACCTAAAGACCAAATCTCCAAGAAATTCTACATAATCTTGCTTTTTAGGCCATAGTACGTCTAAATCTCTCCAAAATTAGAAGAGTACACAAGCTTTTGAGCTTTTTTCCAAATGATACAACCTATTATCCATTTAACTTGCCATTTTTGGAAGAAATTTACCAATACCAATATTGAAAAGTAAGCCTTTTGTAAAAAGCATTTCTTGAGCCCATACCACTGCTCTCCTCTGATCACACACCGCCATGAATCAAGGAAACAATGTCTCTTCACCAGTCTTTCCTTGTACTTGACCTTGAAACCATGGATTTGCAAAATTTCTTCTCAACTATGTTTCACAAACTTTGTGCTTCAAACTGATCAGTTCCAAACCCTAATGTTTCTCTATAAATAGAGATCATATTTGCACTTAAAAATCACGAATTCAGAGATCAAAAAACACCCCTCAATCTCTCTCAAATCAAAATTGGCCAAAATTCTTCATTTTTTAGTTTTAAAATCCATTTCTCCGAAGCTCTTAAACCTTGCAATATTTATGTAAACTAATCATCCACACACCTCACACACATCATGTAGAAGTTGTCCAAACATAAGAATAACTTCTATAATCACTCCATTGTTATACACCATTTCCACTTTTCACTAATTCAACTGACTTGGTCAGAACAATTGGGAAAGCTACAAAACATTCTACCAATTGGAATAGCTTCAGGGAGGTCTAAGGAAGCTTAATCAATCATCATATTGCACTGGGAGGCCATAGAAGAAGCATTAGATTTCTCCAATTTGGTAAAATTTTCAAACTGTGATATCCATATACGTGCATCATTTGTGTTTTATTTTTGAATATAAAATGTAGATATTAATGTCATAAAACTAACCATGTGCTTATTTTTAATTTATATTGTTTGTGTGTTGAGAATTTTGTCTCTGAACAGTTAGGACTTCAATTTGTTACAAATAGAAATTCGTGAGTTGTAGTCAATAATAATTTATGATGCTTACATTTTTGAATTCCTTGTTAAATTTAGAACAACTTTGGTTTTAATAGTTTTCAAAATGGTTGAGAAATGAAGCTTTTAGAAAATTCAAAAATGGTGTTGATGTTGTTGTCCGCGCTAAGAAGATGAAGTTCATCTTTAAATTTTCAAAAAAAAAAAGTTTATAATATATTTAATGATAGTTTTTTTGGAACCGGATGAAACAACCACTACAGTGGCAAGAGATGCACGTGCTAAGGCCTTGGACACTAAGGGTGCGGGTTCGAACTGAAAGGACCCCCCCCCCCCCCCCCCCTTTTGCAATTTCTCTTTTTTTTTTCTATTTTTTATGATCTTCTAAACTTGTTTTTAAATATATTTTGATAGAGGCGTATGTTGAACACCATAGGCACGTGGCCTGGTGGTAAGCCTTTTGAACTATGACCCTGAGGTCTTTAGTTCAAGCCCCTTTGGCCAACAAAATCTCTTTTTTAACACTTATTTCTTTTGTTTTTTATCAAACTTCTCCAATTTTTTAAACCTATCACAACAATTCTTTTTGGGCTGATTTTTTGCATACTATTTATTTATCTATCCTATTTTATAAATATAAGAAAAATACCAAAAAAAATTATTTATTTAACCCTTTTTAATTTAATTCAAAACAAGTCCCTTTTAATTATTTTTAAATGCTTTTCTTTGATTAGGTTTAGAACTTAACTTTTCTTGATAAATCATAAACATCTTCAAAACCTTAATACATAACCTATGACTTATTTATCACAACTTTTACTTTAATAAACATGTTAACCTCCCCCTGTGTTTAATACTTGTGATATGTATGTTTGCTACCATGTTAGTAATTTAATATCTTGTTACACTTATCCCCCTAAAGTCCAAAGAAAATAATAGTATAGTTGATTTTATAGTCATAAGCATCTGCATTCTCCTTTGTATAAAACTCTTGTGAATAAATCATCATATGTATTCTCGTGTAATCTAAAAAAACCTTTTAATCCTAAAAATTATTTTCAAACTTGAACTGCTTTCATATAAAAAACCTTGACTTTGTGCCATTGTATTTTCAAACTTTTTTTCTTTATTAAATGCTTTAATATACTTAAGCATATCAAAACAATTTCAAAATACTAAAAGTGACTCAACCTCACCCAAATCTTTTTTTCCACTTGGATTTTCAATTTAAAACCTTTCTCAAAGATTGGATATAAATCCTATTTATAGTTGAGATATGATTCTCCTATCCCCATATTAATTGTTGAAGTAAATGTGATTTCTTTTCACATGAAGACGTTAGTTGGAAACTTGTTGATCATTATATCCAAGTTAGCATCCCTTCCTTCATGATGATGCAATATCCATCTTCTCATACTCGTGGTGGTATTAGTTTATCTTTCTCTCTAAGAGATGATGAAATATCTCTTCTCCTAAAATCAACCACAACAAATCATTTTGTTACTTTTACCATAAACTACGAGGTTTTGATCCTTCATTGGTACGTAGGTATAAGACTTTGTCTTTCCAAACCAAAAATCAATCAAACATACTTCTTTTCCCATAACCATATTCATTTAACAAACAAACAATTTTAAACAAAAAACTGATATTATAAGTGGTTCATATAGAGTACTATAGATACATAGGGTGATAATACCTTCCCTTTGTATAACCAACCCTTGTACCTTGAATTTGTTCCTTATGCTTTGCTTTTAGTCTTTACTTCTTGCATTGCATGTTAAACAATAGGGTTTTGATCTTTTCCCTTTTCCTTGGAAACAATAAAGTTTGGTGGTGACTTCTTAAGTCTTTGTGAGTGTTGTAACTGGTTTTTAAATTACAGAGTTGTCACCCTTAATTTTTATCCTAAGGAAGGGAATATAAAGGATAACCTTAAAAGTTAGAGATTCTAGGTTTTTTGGACTCGGTTCTAGACGAAGGGAAGGTGTTAGGCACCCCTCGTCTACCTTATTCACAAGGATACTAGGGTTTAGAAGCGCAATTTTTGAGAAATAGGGTTTTAATGTTTTATTAGGGGAACTCGCCACGATTTTAATCATATGCCTATGTATCCTCTTGTGAGGAATCAAAGTCCCAATTCATAGTTCACAGTGTTTGTTAGTGTTTTTTATAGGATTGCGTAGAATTGATTTTGAATTATCCTTGAACCTTGTCTCAGTTGTAAGCAGAGTGATCGTAGACGCGATTTGCAGTTAATTTTGAAAGTAATTCTCCTTAATCTTTTTTCGAAAATATCCTGAGGTTTTGATTATGTTAGTAAAAAATAGTTTATTGTTGGTTAGATATTTTAAATTGATTAATTGAAGTATGGTATGACACAAAGAGGGGAAGTCTGATATAGTCTCCTCATCACATGGCCAGATATTGATCACGTATCATTTGCAGATGGAGTATTTGATGAATTTGCATGGGTTTAAATTATTTGATTTTACATAATAAATCGGCAGACGATGTGTCGACTGATCTAATTACTCGAAGATGGACATCCTATTATTTATAGAATGTTTGAATTAATTTTATACGAGCGAGAATTTATATATTTAAGTTTTAATTGGACTAAACTCTTAAATTATTGATTAAATAAAATTAAATACATAATTATAATTATACTTAATTAGTATAAAAACTGAATTGAAAATAAAAACAAATAAATAAAATCAGAGATGCAATTAGTATAAAGAGAGTGTTGATTAACAAACGAGTAGAAAGGGTGAATTAGAAGCCCAAGGCCTGATGTCATCTCTAAAACCCTAACTTAACTAATTTGATTAATCAAAACAACAAAAATGAATTAAAGATAAAGGGTGGAGCGCCTCATATTATACCTGCTTCTGAAAATTGATTTTCAAAAACAATTGCAATAACCAATGCTAGTGACAAGTGGTAACAATTGATTAGGATAGTAATAAATTGACAAATAAATAAATGAAATAAAGAGGTAGACAATTTATGAATGAGAAACAGAAACACCAATACATGCCTTTTCTTTTCAATAGTCTCTCATCCTCTTTCATGTTCCATCGTAAAAAGAGTCTCTCTCTTTGCAAATCAAACCAAATAATTGAAATCAACATAAAAATACTGAGAGAAAGAATTTACCACTCCTTATGTGGCGGTGGTGCTTCGGATCTGCGAGAGAGATCCCGTCGGAAAGGGCGTGGTAGTGTTTTTGCGGCGGAGACTGGAGGCTGGTTCGAATGCGGTGGTAGGAGTTGTTGTATGCACGGAGGAGTTGCTGTTACGAATGACTTCTCGTGGTGGAGGGTTTGGTCGGCACTCAGTTTTCGTCAGTGGTGACTTTAGCGCCGTATGGAGAGAAGTGAGCCGCGACTACCGCGGTTTCTGCGTGGCGAGGTGCTCGGGTTTTGTCGACACAGTTTCTCGCACGAAAAAAATTTCTTCTGCTTCGTAGTCGTTGTTTGTTCCTCTTTTACCAGATTTGGGTTTTGTGATTTGAATGGTGATGGAACTTGTGGAGAGTGTTTTTTTCTCCATTACATTTCCCGATAATCGATTTGAACTGGAAGATCACTGATGTAGAAGAGAGGTCCCATGGGAATTGTGAAAGGTGAAATTCTCATTGATATAAGTTTTGAAATAGTTTGATGGAGCTTGTCTTTTATGTACTCTCTTTCCCTAATATGTTGGTAGGTGTTGGAACATGTCTATGTTTCAATACGATGTATGTTAGAATATTTTTTTGGTTGAAAAAACCATTTAGTCTCACATTGCTCGTGTGAGAAATATTAATTATCCTACTTCACTATATAAGGAATGCATCTGTTTCATTTCAAATCACACCAAAAACTATTATATTAGTTTTTCCTTCCTCACTCTTATAACTCTGCGTCTCTCGAATTGTCGAAACGCCATTTTCTTCCCCTTTCTTCCTAGTTGAATTTTCTGAGTATTTTTTTGAATTCTCTTTAGAGAATTATGTTAATTTCTTCTCATTTGAGTTGAGAAATTTTCAAGTTTAATCTTTTGGATTCTCTTTGGAGAATTATTTGAATTTCTCTGAATTTCTCTTTGTTGGAGAAATTATTATGAGTGGTCAAATGACCATTATTAATTTCTCTTTGGAGAATTATTTGAGTTTCTTTTTGTTTAAGAAATTATTATGACTGGTCTTTGTACCAGATAGGTGTTGATACCATATTTGAATGGTCTTGTACCATCAGATGGTGTATTTCTAAACCGATTATCTATCATGCAAGTAGTAATCGTACAATATAGAACTGGGTTGTTTTATCTTGGAGGCGGCGCGGTAGTTTGACTGCTTTGCATAATTTTTGAGCAGTGCCGCGAAACGTCTTAAAGAGAGTGACCTAGTATGCGACTCAACCTGATAACTTCTTCGGAGGCAAATGTTTTAAAATCCAAAATCCAACAATTTTAAGACGTTTCAAATTGCCATGGCTACCGAAGAAATTATTGGTTCTTTTGCGGATATTGTCTTTGAGAAATCGTTCATGTTTGAGAGAAGTCACTTCAAACATTGGCAACAAAAGATGAAGTTCTTAACATTGAAAAAAGTTGCTAACGTTCTGATCGATGACATTCTGTTGCTCCTTCTAGAACAATCGAACAAACTAACGGTAGTAAATCTGGAGATTTAGAAGGAACACTTAATAGTGTTGAAGTTGAATCTGCTGCACAGATTAAAGCGGATGATTTACAGCATAGTAAAGAAACCACCTTATAGAAAGAGAATGAAACTCTCTACAAAATCATATTTTGAATAGACTCGCAGATGATCTGTATGATAATTACAGTTAATGTGATACTGCAAGACAAGATTGAGAGACTCAGAAAAAGAAGTATGACGTAGAAGCTGGAGCAAAGAAGTATGTTGTTAACCGCTACTTCAAGTATCAAATACAAAAATGTAAGGTCGAAGGAGGCTCAATGTTACGAACTTCAAAAGATTGCTTAAAAGATCATCACAAAAGGTATGTGTTTAAATGAACAATTTAAAATTGGTTTTATTATTGACAAACTACCCCATAGTTTGAATGTTTAAAAAATAAAAAGGGAATTTTAGAGACAATATCAAAAATAAAAAGTCTTGGTTGTTTCAAACAACAAAAAGAAATTCGGTGTAGTTCTGAAGCCATTTGGCAAATGATTAAAGAATCAGAACCACAATATTGCGAACTGAATTAAGAATGGAAATCCTTCTATGATCCCAATAGCTCCAACTAGGCAACAACCACCACCTAAAAGAAATGGTGTTGGTTTCTCTTTATTTTAACTATGGAAAATCAAGTCATATGACTAAGAAATATAGAAGTAAGTTTGAACTTGGTGTTGTCCCTAATGCACAGGTCAACCTGACTAATGGGCAATTTATTGTTATGGCCATTGAAATCAACATGGTTGATGGATATGTTGGTTGGTGGATAGACACATGCGTCTCTCGTTGTGGCTGTTATGATCGTGTTATGTTTAAACATACACGAATACTAAAGATAAGAAAGTGTTGTTGGGAGATGGCCAGACCACGAATGTTGCTGAAATTGTAGACATAGGAGCTAAATTTCACCTTCAAAAAGATTTTAATCTTAAAGAACGTTATGCATGTTCCTAAGATTAGAAAGAATATTGTTTCTGGTTTTCTTTTAAATAAGACAGGGTTTAGTCAGTCTGTTGGGATAGATTTGTACGTCATTACGAAGAATGAAGTTTATATGTTTAAATTTTTTGTAAAGAATTTGAAAATGATATAATAAGAATTTGTAGTGATAGATAAACTGTATGATTCTAGTTTATTAATGAATTTTATACATGGAATTGTACATGAAACGACTGCACCATACTATCTTGTAATGAATGGTAAAACAGAAAGAAATAATAGAACTCTTACTGAACTTGTTGTTGCAATTATGATGAATTCTGGTGCTGCACCTCACTGGTGGGGGAAATTTTATTGACTGTTTGCTATGTCCTGAATAGAGTCCCCAAGTCAAAATGTGAGATCTCTCCTTATGAAATATTAAAGAAAAGAAAACCAAACTTGTCTTATTTGAGAACTTGGGGTTGTCTGACTTATGTCAGAATTCTGGATCCGAAATGAGCTAAACTCGTTAGTAGAACATATGAATGTGTTTTCATTCGGTATGCAGCAAATAGTAAAGCATATAGGTTTTATGACCTAAAGGCAAAAGTGATCATAGAATCAACTGATGTTGAATTCTATGAAGACAAATTTCCTTTCAAATTGAGAAATAGTTGGGGCACACAATCGAGTCACATTCATGTGATAAGAAGCACAGAAAGCAACGCCAATGTAGAAACAAAACTTCAACGAAGTAAACGAGTAAGAGTTGCTAAAGACTATAGACCTGATTATGCGGCTTATAATGTAGAAGAAGATCCAATGAATCTTCAAGAAGCCTTGTCATCTCTGAATGTTTAGTTATGGCAAGAAGCTATCAATGATGAGATATAATCTCTAGAATCTAACAAGACCTGACACTTAGTAGACTTGCCTCCTGGTTGCAAACCAATCGGTTGTAAATGGGTTTTGAAAAAGAAACTAAAACCTGATGGAACTATTGATAAATACAAGGTTTGCCTTGTTGCCAAGGGTTTTAGACAAAGAGAAAATATAGATTTCTTCGACACCTTTTCTCCTGTCACTAGAATTACATCCATTAGGGTACTTATTTCAATAGCTGCTATTTATAACTTAATAGTACACCAAATAGATGTTAAAACAACTTTTTTAAACTGTGACGTAGAAGAAGAAATCTATATGAAACAACTGGAAGGGTTTGTAATCTATGGATAAGAAAATAAGGTTTGTAAGTTATATAAGTCTTTGTGTGGGCTAAAACAAGCTCCAAAACAATGACATGTAAAGTTTGATAACTTAATGATATCGAATGTGTACAAAGTGAATGAAAGTGACAAATACGTTTATTACAAATTTGAGAATTGTATTTGCACTATCATATGTCTATATGTAGACGATCTACTCATATTTAGATCAAACATTCAGACCATTAATGATATGAAAGACCTCGGAGAAGTGAGTGTGATTCTTGGTATCAAGATCACAAAATCCAAGCAAGGAATTTCTTTGGATCAATCACAATATGTGAAAAAGATCTTAAAGAAATATAATTACTTTGACAGTAAACTTGTGAGCACACTAAATGATCCAACCGTGAAGCTGTTTAAGAACACTGGTGAAAGTGTTAGACAAACAGAACATGCGAGCATCATTGGAAGTCTTAGGTATTCCATTGATTGTACTAAACCTGACATTGCATATGTCGTGGGATTGTTGTGCGGGTTTACTAGTAGACCGAGTAATGAACATTGGCAAGCTATTGAGCGAGTCATACGGTACCTTAAAAGGACCATGAATCTAGGTTTACATTATCATAAATTTCCTATTGTACCTGAAGGATACAATGATGCGGATTGGAATACCTTATCAGATGATTCCAAAGAAACTAATGGCTATGTATTCAACATAGCCAGATGAGTTATATCTTGGAAATCAAAGAAACATACTATCCTGAGAATATAGCATTAGCGACTGCTAGTAAAGAATCAAGTTGATTAAGATGCTTGCTAACTGAGATTCCCTTATGGGAAAAACAAATGTCAGTTGTGTTGATCCACTGCGATAGTACCGCGACTATTGCAAAAAATTGAGAATCGTTATTATAATGGTAAAAAACGTCAAATAAGAAGAAAGCACAGCATTGTTAGAGATTGTATCTCTAAAGGATCTGTAAGAGTGGATCATGTACGCACTGATGAAAATTTAGCAGATCCTTTGACGAAAGGATTAGCTAGAAAGAAAGTCTATAATACATCATATAAGATGGGACTAATGCCTATAGGAAAATGAGTTGCTCATGATGGTAACCCGACCTAAATGAATGGAGATCCCAAGAAATAAGATTAATGGGTAATAACAAGTTGTGAGTAATATGAGATGATCATGCAAGTAAAGCATGAATCCTGAAGTAATAAGAGGATGAGATAATAGAAACTCTTAATGATATCTATACTCTGTATGAGGGAGTACCTAGGCTACAGGAGTACTCTTGATAGACTCACCTATGTGATTGTGGAACTTAGGCCGGTTCCTATGGAATTTCGAGGCAGAATTCCTAGAGCCTTCATTAAACTGGGATACACATGTAAGGCCATTAAAGCACGGGCTATTAGAATACACCTTAAGAAAAGGTTGTGTGCGGGTTTGATGTCTGAGATAGAGTTCAAGACATTTGTGTCACTCTTGTTGAATTGGAATCCTACTTGCTATGCAAAGGTTC